TGGGTGGAAGGAAGAAAAAGAAAGGCTCTGACATGTGTCAATGAAGGTATTAAACCCCAGCTTAAACCATCTTTTGAGTTCAGATTGTGGTTGTTTAAAGGGCTTTAGATTCAAGGAGACAGAAACAGCCCTCCCTATCCCTGCATAATGGGCAACACTGGCAAAGTAAGGTCTGTTACAATAAAATACAGTAGACAAATAAATAATCTTTCAAAAACAAAACAACCCTATGTGTGTTGAGAGTATGGAAGAACCCCAGCAGGCTGCACCTGGAATGGTATTTTCTGCATGAGCAAGATTAGGCAATACCTCATCCAGAGAGTGGTGTAAACACAAGGACAGGCAAGAACCAAGAGTGAGGGAGAAGGAAATCGAGAGCAATCCTGAGCAGGACTCTACCCAGGGCAGAAGGTTCTGCTCGTGCCTCAAACCTGACTTCATGACAAATTAAGTTTGGATGGTCATGCAGAAGACAAACAGTTACATGCTTTTTTTAGTTTTTAAGACAACACACATTCATTCCCTAAAATCTGCTGCCAATTTAGTTCTCTAGTGTCCGCTGGCTCCAAACAAATTGACTTTGCTTTACATGAAGAGACTATTGAACAGAACACTGTACATGCTTTTCATCTACAAAAAAATATTTGCATAAAATAGTGTTAGTTCTCTGTACACGTCAATGGACATTTTAACTGTGTATAAAAGAGGAATATATTGCCCCCACTGAAGTCAGAAAAAGCCAAAAAACAAAAAAAACCCAAAAATCTAGATTATGAAACCTCCATCACCAGCAAATATGTTCATGTGAAAATTCAGCAGAAATAGACAAGTTGCTCTAAACAATAAAAAAATTAAGTTAAACTTTTCTTTTTGTCTTTGAATGTAAAATTCATCACCATGTCAGTCAAGACCAGAACATATCACTAAAGTTAGTGTCTGTGCTGTAAAGCCAAATGACCAGGGGCAGAGTAATGAACACAAACGGCCAGGACACTCCCTCGGTGCATGCTGACAGGGCACAGGGTTTGCTGGCAGGCTGCACACTATCTTTACCAGGTTCCAGGTAGTTACGAGCCACATATTTAAGTGTTTCATCCAGCAGAATGACTGGGAGGGAGATTTTCAATACCATCAGCCACTGTGTCACGTTCAGGGGGGTGATCTGGAAGATAATCTGAAAGACAAGCCAAGTGTTACATCTCTGCTCCCTCCAGCCCTCGCTGTAAGCGTCACAGGTTTCTGCTCTCTCTCCAAGGATGGGAGTAATATGTGCACTTACTGGCAGTGGTTCCACATAAAGGATAAGGAAGTGGAGGGACATGGACAGGCAAATGGCTCCCACCAGCCAGATGTTCTCCCATGGAGGCATCCTCATCAGGGACTGATTCTCTGACAGGCTGCAAGAGAAATACCATGTGTGTGCAAAGGCAACATCAACAGGAAACTAGCTGGACAGCAAAGCAGCATGGCAAGTCAGAGATCCCAGTCACAAAAGATCCCAAGGTCCAGTTTATATGTATGTTGCAACTTTAAACTGCCCTGAAAGTCAACTTAGCGAAGCAGTCAGCATCAGCCTCACGTTTATTCTTGAAGGCTGTTACGTTCTGCTCATTCCTGATCCAGTCTATTCACTAAGATCCCAAAACCCTCCCCAGAGGAGGGGAAAAGGACATGGAGAGGGGAAAGATGGGCATGGCAGTGTAAAAGAATTCCCCCAGTGCACTTCTGGAATTCACTGAAAGACAGAGGGTCAAGCACTTGCACTTTTCTAATGCCTGTCCTTTAATTCTGCTCTTCAGATTCCACCTGCATTTAGGCTACACTGAGGCTGAGATCCAGAGCACTGGATGTAGAGCAGTATTCTACTATGTAGGACTGCCCCAATACACTGGTATTTCAAGTTTATTTGTTTTTAATTTAACTGACCTCTAAGCTATTTGAAGAAAAATACCCTTGACATTGTGCTATTTAGTGGTTTCCATTTATAATCTAATATTAATTGGCTAAGCCCACACTCCCTTAGGGCAGGAAAAACTATTTTCCATATCTTCAGCATTCTTATTTTAGTTCTCCTTGATATCACTTTATACCAACACAGGAGGGATAATCTGATTGATTAAGGTTAGATTAAAAATAATGGAAAGTATTCCAGTTGCTTGTGCTTAGTAAAATACCAGACTAAATTGGCAGACTTAAAAATACACCTTATGATAAGAGATCTCAAATGTTATCTAAGAGCCATTTTGTTTGCACTACCAGGACTCAGAAAGGAAATGTGACTCATGCTTCATTAGTCGAGCTGTCCAACCAAGAATCAAATTGCACAAAAAGCAAGAGTTTGGCTAAGCTGTGCAGGAGCTTTGCTTTTCTGCTTGGCCATACCAACCTGTTGAGGGCATTGCACATCTCTATGGTGACAAGCACAGAAAGAGCCATTGTCATTGGATATGGAGACTCAAAGACCACACAGTCCACACCAAAGAAGTCTGGATTGTCCTCTTTGCACTGCAGGAAATGGCTCTAGAAGAGAACAATGTGAACTCACTTCCATAGCTTGTTAATTTTTGCATTGTAAACTGGCAATTAGGCAGAAAACTGAGTGTGATGGAGACAAACTTTGTACTATGACTCCTACAACCACAGATCACAAACTTCGCCACTTTAAAAAAATGCCCTTTAGGCTTTTACTTACAAGACAACAACTAGTCCTTCAAACTAAGTTATTCCACCTCTGAGCTTTACTATTAAGACTAATTAATGATAGAGTTTTACAACAACAAGTATGAAAACATTACATAAATTCCTGTAACCTCCTGGTTTTCTACAGTCATTTAAGTATGAAAGCAGCAGGTACTTCCCCTCTCCCCTTTTCCCCCAAAGATATGAAACTAAGCAAATACCAGCTGATAAAAGGAAAGTCTTGGACCACCATCAGCAGCAATAAACCACCAGGCAGCAGCACCCACTGTGGCAGCACCAACGTAACCTTAAAGAAAACAAAGTGCCTTTTTCAGCGCCGGCAACTGTACACAGGACAAGACCTCACTTGCCACACTTGAGCTTCTACCTCAAGACTTCCAGTAGTGAAAAAAACCCAGGTTGTAACCCATGTCTTTTAGTTCATTTAAGGCAAAAAGGTGCCAGTACTTACACCCAATGGCCAAGTACCGGAAGAAGAGCCACCCACTGATCAGGGGCTCCTTGGGGTTCCGTGGTGGCTTGTTCATGATGTCAAGGTCAGGAGGGTTAAAGCCCAGAGCAGTAGCAGGGAGACCATCTGTCACTAGGTTCACCCATAGCAGCTGAACAGGAATTAGAGCTTCAGGAAAACCCAGGGCAGCAGTCAAGAAGATACTACAAAAAAAACACATCAGTTACAAAAGCTTGTTCTTGTGCATGTATAGTCCTTTAAGCCTAAGCCTGTAGCAACACCTCTGCTGTCTTATACAGAGCTAAGATCACAAGCTGAATATTCACAATCAGAAACAAAATATATTCAAGAGAAAACACCTCTAACTGGTGGCACGTGAGCTTTAAAGCATTATCTTCTAGGAACGTCAAAAATCGCACGCTTTTGCTTTAGCCTTATTTTTTCTCCATTCTACTTAGGTAAATATATATCTATACATCCATGCAAGCCACTTTCTAAAAGACACATTTTAGCTCAAATGACTAAGCTCCATGTCCCCAGATTACTGCTAGTCCCTGTAGAAGTTTACTGATCATGTAACTTTCATAGCTTCAAGCCTGTGTGACTAAATAGAAGAGAACCAGGGGCTGCAGCAAATGCCATAGGAAAGGACAGCTTGAAAGTTCCCAAGAATCAAGACAAGACAATTGCTGTGCTATATTGCACTCTGGGAGAAAGTTGCTTTGATGTAAGGACTGTCAGGAGATGAGTATTTACATTCTGTTACCACAAATGCATTCTGTGGGTCAGCACTGCTCCTCCCAGACACTCATGTTCCTCTGTAACTTGAGGTTGAACAAACATCTAAGCTATGCCTGTGACTAAGTTACCTGAAATTCCAGATCTTGTAGTATTTAATTAAGTTTTTTGTTTTCCTATTCTAGAGTTATTCCAATCATAGAAACAACTGGAAAGCATTTGGTCACCCACTGAAATAGAATATTCCATGTAACACAATGTGCATCCTTACTGGCACACTACAATTCTTCACTGAAGACCAGGCTGCAAGTATGCAACTTCCACAATGACCTGGAGAACCCATTTCTCTGGGTTTAGTGAGAAATACTGAAAGAAAATAACTAACAGAAGACTCAGTCGTCACTACTCTAGTTGAAAGAAACAACAAATTTAAACCTACCAAACAACCTCCCCAACGTTGGAGGAGATCAGGTATCGGATGAACTGTTTCATGTTGTTGTATATGGCACGTCCTTCCTCCACAGCAGCTACAATGGTGGAGAAATTGTCATCTGCTAAAACCATTTCAGAAGCAGTTTTAGCCACTGCAGTACCGGAACCCATAGCAATTCCAATCTCTGCTTTCTTCAGTGCAGGAGCATCATTGACACCATCACCAGTCTGAAACAAGAGGGGAAAGTTGAAAATAAATGAAATAAATAAGGTGGGAACCTAGACATAGTATCAAGAAGGGAATACTGCACTGGGTATGGGTTTGGACCCTTAAAAATCACTAAGCACAGAACTATTCGGAGGCTTTGAGTTAAGGGAAATGTGGAAACAAGTGTTTTCCAGCAACAGGCTTAACCTGAAGAGGCATCATGAGGTTTTAAACACAGCATTTGCCTTTCAGGCCAAGCAGCACTTCCATCACTTACCATAGCTGTGATCTCATCAAAAGACTGAAGAAACTCAACAATTTTGGACTTGTGGGAAGGCTCCACACGAGCAAAGCAGCGAGCATTGTGGCAGGCATCCCTCTGGGCAGCGAGGGAGAGCTCATCAAACTCACGACCTGTAAAGGCTTTCGAGGACACATCTTCGTCCTCCACGAAGATGCCGATGCGGCGGCAGATGGCCACGGCCGTGCCCTTGTTGTCACCGGTGATCATAATGACCCTGATGCCAGCTTGCTTGCACAGCTTTATGGATGAAGCTACTTCAATCCTGGGAGGATCCAGCATTCCCACACAGCCCACAAAGGTGAGGTTGGTCTGGAACAAGAGACACCAAGTTTTAGTGCAAGATCCTGAAAACTTCTCATCTGCTGTCAGGGAAAATCATTTTGTTTGCAAGCTACATCTCCCTCAGCATAGTGACCTTTGTTTTTACTCCCTGTCCTACCTTTCCAAACGTACTTTGCTTGAAATGCACGAATTTTATTAGTTAAAACATGCTCCAGTTGCAGCCTTGCAAATTCAACCTGCAAGCATTGAGCCCTTCATGTCTATCACCAGTGCCAGGAGCACAGAGCACGAGCCAAAAACTCTGATGCAACTGTTGTCATTTCCCTCCCTCTAAATACCAGATACAGATTTCATTGGAAAATTACAGAGTGGCTAAGATGATAATCACGGCCTGAACCCTGGCAGCTGCCAGCACAGAGGCAGGGAGGGAACCTAACTCTCCAAGTGGCAAGTACGTTTCATCACAAACACCCCAAAGAGGTCTTGCAGTTGAGCAATGCCCAACTGAAAACCATTAGAGCTGAAACCACAATGCAGTTCTTGGAGTACTTTTCAGTCAGTGTCTGAGAACAGTTTAAGGAGTTATGACGCTGGGGATCTATGTATAAGTGAAGTAATACATTTTGCAGCTTGCTAACTGATTCCTTCTTGTGCCCTTAGCATGTTTATCGGTCCAACAGTTTCTTTCAAAACACCAAGTCTCTGAGCATTCCCTTCACACACGTGTAAACTACTGTCTGACATCGAAAATACCCGGAAAGAGAAAATTCTTGGCTGTAACTTCCTCAAAAAATAACCAAATACAAGGAGTCACCATTCTCCACTTAGAGAGAAGGAGAAGTGTCACTCATGTTACCTCATAGTTAATGAAATTTGTGGAGTCCTCCAGGTTCATCTCCTCTTTTTTGGGGGGATTGTCATGGGTTGCCAGAGCCAAGCAACGCAGCGTATCTCTACCAGTTCCCCATTCTCTGATGACAGACATTATTTTCTGTTTAATTCCTGGGGTTAAGGGGATTTTAGCATTTCCAACCCTGACGTGAGTACATCTGTCAATCACACCTTCAGGAGCACCCTGCACAGGCAAAGAAAAAGGTCATTTAGCTTAATGAATCCCTTTCCATTACAACATTTGCTCAAACTCTTTCCTCCATCTTCGAGCCGCAGTTAGTTGTGCCATGATATTTGAGCACTGTGCTACTCTGCAGCCATTCCACAGGGAGAGTCTCTCGAGTGAGGAACTGACCTTGACGAACATCTTGCTCATGGGCGTGCGGCTCGGCTTGTTCGGGGTGCAGTATACAGACATAGACTTTCTGTCTCTCGAGAATTCCAAAGTGAATTCTTTCTTCATGAGTTGTTTTATCACCTTATAAAAAAACAGGATAAAACTACATTTAGGTAATATAGACTCCAGAGCTCTCTCCCCAGATGATCCCAGCTGAGAGCACTGACCGAGTTGCAGGCGTTCGCACGTTCGATTCTGGAAAGTCCTTTCAAGTCTGTGTCAAACACATTCATCTTCTCAACCAGACAGGTAAGTGCTGTTTCCGTGGCTTCACCAACCTTTTCATAAACTCCCTTAGCCTTTGATTAACACAAAGCAAACAAAACCACAGGAATTAAACCTCACCCGGAACCCACCAGGGACAAAACTTCAAGTTTCATGATGGAGGATAAAAAAACCTGAACAGGATTTACTGTGGCTTATGGAACAAGCAAAACTATTTTTAAAGAGCAGCTTTAGAAGTATGATTTGTAGGGGTTTGAACCCTTTACTCTCAAGACCAGCAGAGAAGGATGACACTCCTTTATCATCTCTAAGTCATTATGAGCTGTAGGAGCCTTAAGCGATGAGGCAAAGCAAGCAAGCAGCAGTGTGTTCTGAACACCAGGAGATCTTCAGGTTACACAGGACATTTCCTGCCTGGGGATTTAGTTTTCTCAGTGTTCAACAAGTAAGTCCCAGAATTAATACTTCAGAGGACTTAAATACTTTCTGACCTTGACTAGAAGGCGATTTACCACTGACAGGTATTGCATAGACTGATGAGAAGCAACAGTTATCCTCATTCTCACACTCCTCTCCGTTCCAGGACATGTACTTACTTCATTATAATCCAAAGAGGAATCATTGCAGAGAGCACAGATGGTTGCCAGTTCTACAAGGCCATCATACTGGCTGCATTTAATGAGTTTGTCATCTTTGTGCCTTTGCAAAGGAAGAAAAGAGAGATTTTTAGTTACTTAGTACTAGCATCTCACCTTTTCCTCTTCTTTAATCCCTTTACTGCATTTCCATTTAGTACAATGGTCATTAGTTAGGGACTTGGAACTAACAGAAATTGTTGAGAAGAGCAGGTTTGATAAAGCTCTGAAGTTTGGATCAGTCATGAAGAGAACGACATGATCATCAATGACATGTCTAGCTGAGTGACAAAACCTTATTTCCTCCAGTGACAGTCACACAGCAATGTGGGAAAGAGCTCAGTGATGAGGAATTCGAGTATGTGTAGAACTTGGGGGGAGTTCCAAGCAGGAAAGGGCATTATTGGGCATCTTAGGAGTTTACTTTCTTCCTACTGCATGTTCTGCAGACTTACTGCAATGCATGGCGTACATGCACTGGACAGGCATAAAAGCAGGTTTGGCCTCTTTAATTCCTTAAAAAAAAAAAAAAAAGCAATCTGTACTACATGTGAACCTCCTAAAGCAATGCAAAGTGAAGTCATTTCACAACACAAATTCCACTAGAACAGAAATACTCTTTTCTAGTGGTGATATACACTTAATGATCAATATCTCAAGTCTTCAGAGAGAAGGAAGATACATTTTCCTCAAGTAATGCACCATTTTGACGTCACAAATAAGCACCAGCTTCTTTGCTTTCACATTTGGAAACAATTAGTAAATGAATTCCTTTCTGGAACATTGGGATATTTCTATAGTAAGTTAAGAACTACTGAAGCAATGTTCAACACTAGCAAGACAGAACTAATACAGAACTAATATATAACAACTTTTATTAAAGCTCACAAGGAGGAGAAAAATGGTCTGATGGTGCAAAGATGTGGCTCACTACTCCCTAAGAATTCACAATACAGACTATGACATGTCCCATTGTGTAAGCTTTGGTTCAGTTGTGATATTGCAAACAAATTCCTGTGCTGTATAACACTGGGGGAGAACAAAATGTATCTTAACAAAACAAGTATGTTTTCAATGTTTCATTTTGCATATAAATCCACAGCCATAGAGTGGCTTTAAAGTGTTAACTCTTTTCCCTTGCCAGCAATTTCAGGTTGTTACTTTGTCTATCCCACCTAAAACTTCCCATTTTAATCAGTTGTGAACACAAAGAAGACACCTAAGTATCCACAACTTGTTACACCAGAGTGGGTTTTTAACCCTTGTTTTTGTGTTCCTCACCAACAATTTCTGCGGAATGGCAAATGCAAACAGTCTCTAAGGTTTTGGGGTCAGGTCTGGACAAAGGGAGTTTTTTCCCTTGCATCTTCAGGTTTTGCAGTTAGCCGAACTCATTGAAAGTCAAATACAATCTGTCACCTTTTGCTGCAGTTCTTAATTATTGTTAGTTTTATGCTCTCAGTTTGCAGTAAGACACAGCAAAACTACTGTCTGACAATCTCTACCATCCCTAGGAAATTCTTGGTTTTCAGTAAGAAATATTTGTGATTTTATATTCTGGATGTATTTTAAGGGAGAGTTATACATCAAATGTTTTAAATGAAAAATTAGTGATTCAGTGCAAAAACACTTGGTGGTTATGAAACAGAACTGCAGAGGAGAACAGTGCCTGAAGTACAAAGGAACACCTGTCAGAAATGGCTCGTATGTGGAGCAGGACTAACTGCCTCCTAACCTCCCAAGCTTTGCTCTCAGTGACAGCTTGCAGTCCAAGGTGAAGGCAGTCAGATTGTTTAAAATCCTCACAGAGCCACTGACTTACGAAGCTGTCCATAAAGGCAGAAATCAGCCCTGAAGGTCTGAGAGTTGAGCTGTGTTTCCTTGTGCTCCAGTAAGAGCCTTTCTGCAGCCATTTTCCTCTCAGGAAGCCTTTGTGTATGTGAATGCAGCACAGCCAACATGATTCTTCACATTTCCCCAATTTCAGCAAGCAAAAATAGAACATTAACATGCACTGATGACTCTTACCATACTCAACATCTGCGCCCACAGTATATTTTATTAGTTTGTTTATCTAGAGCTCTTGTGAGAGCAGCTAAAGTCTAATAGCTGCGTGTTTGCAAGGTCTGGAAAGTCACCTTGCCTAAGTAAATGCTGTCTTCCTCAAATGAAAGCCTAAGCATTTCACAGCAATTAGCTTTGAAACAAAAAGAAATTGGGGAATTAGGATTTCCAGGTGCTGAGAACATCAGGGTCTTAACTGCTATGGAATTTAAACAGAGAATCAGTCTGGAGATGGGCAAGATTGCAGGGAGTCAGAGGCACATGTGAAACTGCACAAGGCTGAGAGATGTTTACAAGAATCGAATGTTAATTCCGCTTCATCCACAGTAGAATTCTATTCTGCAAGTAAAACTGAAATATAAGACTAAAACCATAAAAACCTTCTCAAGTAAAAGGACCCGTGACAACCCAGCAGCAAGAGGCCTTCCTTCTGGGAGCAGAGCCCTCAAAATTCCTCAAGTTGCCAGGAGGAACTGCCTTTCTCACTAGTAGAGACTTGCAACTGATAACGTAATCCAAACCTCATTCCTTTCCTAAGAACTGGGTTTAACAGCAGCTCAAATAGCAAAGGCTGAGACAAACACACACATCTAGTCAGGTACAGATGCCTCAATAAACTACTGAGGCCGGGGACAGGAATTTACAGTAATTTATGTATTAATTCCAACACATTCATAAGATGCTTTAGAAAGAACAAAACCTTCCACCTTCTGAGGCAAACTGGAAACACTGATTTCAGTCCAGTAAGATTTTAGTAAAATAAATCCTCTCTAACCCTAATTATTTTTTTAGATTATATTAACTAAGCTTCATGTTTACTTTTCTAGAATTTACCTTTGTTTTACTGTTAATTCCTTTCTCTCAGCCCCTCAGTGTCCATTCTCACTGCCTGAGCTTTCATTTATTACCCATCACTAGTGAACATTACATGCGTCGCTTTTCAAGACTAAACAGTTAATGCATACACAGACAAATTTTTAACTTCAGAGAACACTTACACCTCTCCCATGGGAGCATACGTTGAACCAGTTATAGTAAATTCGTTCAAAGAACAAGTATCTCCTTCTACTCTGTCCAGGATAAACATCTGAAATTAAAGAGTTACAACTGTTACTATTTTGGAACAATAATTAACGCAAGATATTTAAACAGGCCTTAAACAAGCAGGTACAAGAGGCAAGTTCAGGTTGAATAAACAAACCAGACAAAATCTGATACTCTGCACTTCAGTCCCATGTGTTTGAACAGCTCCATAGGCTGAAGCACAGAGTCCAGAACACAAACCTTCTGCTTACAGATCTCATTTGAAAACTGCCTTGTGACAAACACAGCAGAGCTGCAAAGACACATCCACTGTGTGCCCTTAACTCCTGCTGTGAAGACTACTCACAGCACTTGACAATCCTGCCTATACTCAAGCTCTTCCTAGGCTTCAGACCTGTAAATTAGTTCTCATGTCTGTGTTTGCAACAGCAATCCCAGTCAAAAGCAGCACAGGGTAGAGCTTGGAAACTAACAATTCCTGCCGAAGTCAAAACAAAAGCTTTACAAATAGCAGAAGTTTTTAGATGTAAGAAGGAAGGTTTCAGGCAAGAGTCAGACTATGGCCAGTTTCCCTCAATACCAGCCACTAAGTGGAAGTGTTTCCCGTCCTGGTTTTCTAGTTACAAGTCACTTCAGCACATGGTACAGTGGTAGCTTAAAACCACTGAGACAGCTCCAGAGCACTTCTAGCAGGGGCTGAAATGTTATTTGCTAATTAAGACTCCAATTCGAAGGATGCATTTGTGCCCCTAAGAGACCTATAGCTCAGTCTTTCCTTTGTTTCCCTTCTAGGAGCTGCAAGCAGAACGAACCACATCTGAAGATGGAGATAAAAACCACAGTGCCTGAAGCTGTCACACTCCTTATGGCTTGCTGGAGCAGTAGTCAAGATGATAATTTCTTATTAATTGATGTTATATCTTAATAGAACTTCTTACACACTGGTTAGTACAGGCCACATTGTCATATCCTATTTCAGCAATGTCTTCCTTTCCCCTCACTGTGCTGCCCATATTCTAGACAAGCATCCTCACAAAATACAGCCTAATAACAAACTTATTGTTACAAGGATTAGAACTTTGCGATGTTTTGCAAAGTCTTGCAATTCATTCAGAGGTTAACAAGGAACCAAGTAAGTTGTACTGCACAAGATCCAAAACCTTTAGACCGCTAAATAAGGAGCAGAGCATTTTGAGCTTTTAAATAAACACCACTTAAATGATGAGTTAACCAGGAAGCCTTTTGCTTTTGGCATCTGCATGATGAAAAAATCCCTGCAAAGACTAGGGCAGTTATGCAACTCTACTGCAAATAACCTCCACTGGAATACTGATGAGCAGCTGCTTTGTGTCTCTTAGGTATAAATACTATGATACTTAAGGAAGCAGAACAAGTCAACCACCAATTAGAAAGAAAAAAGCCATCAATCACTTGAGAATAAAGTGCTTAGGGCTCACAGACTTTTGCCACTGGTGTGTAGTGCTCAACAGTTGGAATTCTCACCCAATGTAATGAGACTGAGCATTTGATGTTGCTGTGCCATTCAACATCTACAACTGTTAAACAGAAGAACTTAAATGTTTTCTCCATAAAATTCCTACACAGAAGCACAAAGTGGTGACTGAACATGCATTATGTTAAGTGACTAGTTATAAAAGTCCCAGTTCATCAACACTAGGAAGAATATTGTGGGGAAGGGAGAAGAGGCACAGAACTCACGCTCACCTAGAAATACACCACACGTGGAGGATGATCCTGGTGACAGGGTCAGCTGCACCTCCAAGCTGCCTGATTAGCCATACAATATTGCACATTGAAAGCACTACAGTGATCTACATCAGACCAGTAAGAACTACTGAAGATAACTAAACAAAGGCTTTCACTCAGTCGTGAAAGCACCTTTGACTATCAAAGTTGCTTCAGTAAATCATCTACTTTTTTTGCTCCATACTAAGTTTCTTCGCCATTGTCATCTTCCTAAATTAAAGAGCCAAGTGTGTTACACTTCCACATCTGTTCTACAATGCAACTTCCCTCCCTTTCTGAAACAGGGGACACACCACAGCAAATAGTTACTGCAACAGCAGTAGCCTGAAAGGCTCACAGATACTGGCAAACAACTTTCTCTTCCGTGAGTGTGGGCACGGCAATCTTAGGCCGTGACTAAATAAGGGAAGAGATAAAAGCCTTAAAGACTCGACAGTGGAAAACTGAATTACAAGTGAAAGCGTATCTTTGGAAAATAAAGCAGTGTTTTAATGATACGAGAACCAAAGACTCAGGACCAGAAGAATTCAGGCAATGACGACTATTCAAACAGAGTTGCTGAGGAGAAAGAGAAATGAAGCTACTCAACATACCCTGCAGACTGACATCTGGTTTGTGGTCAGAGTCCCAGTCTTGTCAGAGCAGATCACTGAGGTGCAGCCCAAGGTTTCCACAGAGGGAAGACTCCTAACAATTGCATTCTTCTTGGCCATCCTCCGGGTTCCGAGAGCCAGGCACGTGGTAATGACAGCAGGGAGACCCTCAGGAATGGCAGCAACAGCAAGAGCAACAGCAATCTTAAAGTAATAGATAGCACCTCGGATCCAGGAGCCACCGTGGACAGGATCGTTGAAATGCCCAATGTTTATTATCCACACAGCAATGCAGATCAGGGAGATGACCTTAGACAGCTGCTCTCCAAACTCATCCAGTTTCTGCTGCAGAGGGGTTCTCTCTTGCTCCGTAGCCACCATTTCATCACGGATTTTTCCAATTTCAGTGTTTACTCCTGTTGCAATCACCATTCCCATAGCCTTCCCAGCAGCAATGTTAGTACCCTAAGGGAAATAAATGGGAGAAAACATATGTAATCAATCTATAAACAGTTTTATTTTGGTTTTAACTTTAAATAAAACATCATAAAAATACCCCAAACCAAATAAAACACCTTATACAAGTCCAGACTGTGTTTCAGCTAGAATACAGAAAAGGTCAAGACAATGCTGCTGCTCTGTGTCTCTATGGGAACTCTTCAGTGGAGAATTTTTTTACAGAATGGGCTCAAAACAAGTCAGTATTGATCTCTCCTAAGCAGCACAGTCAAACTCAGCTGCTGAGCAAGCAGAATGTATGCCAACTGCAATCTTAAGTGCAGTTTTCCTTCCTTTTTGTTCATTAGGAGTGTATTTTGCCAGATTGAATGTTATTTACTATGAGTAGTAGATGTGTCCTCTGGGGTTCTCTGTGCCAATGTACTTAACATGAGAAAGAACAGTTAAATCTTCTACAAGCAGCCTAATAACAATAAGACTTATTTTATTATCTGAAAGGTATTTAATGCTCCTTTTAAACAAATTTGAATCAACTCTTTCATTCTTATATAGAAAGCAAGTTCCCAATTTTAGCCACATAACACGACACTTTGTGTGGAAATTCTTGAAACTCTTAACAACTATTACATTAGAAAATTAGTGTAAAAGCACTTTCAAAGCATCTGTGCTCCAGCCTCAAGACTTCCTTGTGAAGAACAATCATACTTTTCCTCATATAAACTGGTTTCAACTAGCATCTCCCCTGAGGACAGCTGTTATTAGAAGTTACTTTTCATTTTTTAATTCGTTTAGTTCAATGTTCCCCAAGACACACACAGGGACGTGTATAGAGAACACAGTAGAGATGTCAGACAGCTTTTGGGGGAAGACCTGAAGTTCTGCATATTTTTATCAGCTCCAGTATTATTAATTTTATATATATTAACTTTTAATATTATAAGTATTGAGAATTTCCAAACAAGTAACTTACAGAAAAGAGCATGTTCTTCTTGTCTTGATTTACAGCACGAGGATCAGGCACAGGGTCAGTGTGCTTAATAACAGACACAGACTCACCTAAAGTAAAGACAATTAGAAGAGATTATACATCTTGAGTCCTGGAAGGAATCAAGTCATAATCCTCAATTCTAAAATTTTTAGAACGTTAAACTTCTTTCCTCAAATGATTTTGTTTAATTGCTTAAGTGAAACACGGAGTATTTCAGTTGACCAAGAAAATGGAAAGGCTTTTGATGAAAATTCTGTCTCAGTTTCTGTGAATGTATCACACAGGTACAGCAGAAAGGTTCCTTTTCTATGGGCACAGATGTCCAGTGCCCCATCACATTTCACAAGGTGGTGCTCTTAGTTTCAGAGTTACACTGCTTTTTGTAAGCTCAAGAGAGCCAAAAGGTTTCTACTTTAAAAACCTTTTTGTTAAGCAGCATCTTAAACCTCAGTCCTACTTTATTAGCTAGGAGACTTGAGCATCAACTTGGCTGGAACCAGAAAAAGCTTTCTTTAAAACAAGAATTCTGTTATTTAAATAAAGGCAAGGAATTACTCCCTTTTTATAGACTTCTGGTGAATGATTTCTTGCCCTCACCTCAGTTCCAGCTTGACAAACAAGAGCACCTCCATTTGATTATGCTAAACATAAGAGAGCTTCATCAGTTCTATGCTATCCAGGATCTGTACTGAGCAACTTTGGGGCCTGCTTCAGGACAGATTCCAGGATGAAAAAATAGACTTCCTATGAATACTTGACTGTTTTAAAATTCAGAGCTAGTTAACATTAATTTATGCTACCAAAACAGGCAGACAGATCTTCATGTTCCAGCTGAAAGCAAACTGTTATAGCATGCTTGGTTGATTCCCAGCTTCTTTCCTATATTCAGAAGTACTGCCACTTTGTTTTGTTTGCAACAAATCTGAAAAGAGCTCTAAAAATAGCTCCTGAACTTGAGAGCTGGTACCAAAACCACACCAGTGTGTGTGCATAGAATTTGAGCAAATAAGGTTTGAGTGTACTGAGCTTTTGGTACCAGCAGTCCAAGAGCTTCAGCACTGCAGTTGTTCTCTCCTGGGAGAGAAAACTGTTGCAGAAAACACTTAGTAAGATTTACATACTTTCATATTTGAGTGGTGACAAGATGTTCAAACCTAGAAGACTGAGCAAACTAGACTAGAAGTTCTGATTTTTTCTTAGTTTTTTAGCTTCCCACAAATGACTTGTGACTGCTGGGGGAAGGAGATGGCCAAAAAAGCATTACAAGCCTCAGGAGGAATGTTATTCCCACTAAAGGAACACAAAGCCAATGATGAAGCAATGCATTCAGCACTCTGAAAGTTACAAGATCAGAAATTTACTGCACTTGGACACAACAGAGTAAGCACTTCAATAGCTACAGGCTCGTTCCTAACAGATTGTTCCAAACAAACGGTGAAAAGGCACTTTCAATTATGCACATAATTATATAGAAGTCACAGAAATTGTACCTGTGAGGATTGACTGGTCTACCCTTAGAGTCGTAGATTTGATGGAAGTAATTCTTATGTCCAGCAGGAACCTTGTCTCCAACTACAAAGAAACAACAAAACCAAGTTAGGATTTTGCTGTTTGAGAGATTTCTAACCAAGTGAATTATTACCTCTACTAGCCAGAAAAAGGATTTTCCACTAACTGTTCAGATGATTAAGATTACCAATAGCTTAATGCTGCTTTTATCGTATCATAGTAGGTTAAGAGGTTGGAGTGGACCCCATAGAACATCCAGCCCCAAGCCCTGCCCTGGGCAGGGACACCTCCCACCAGAGCAGGTTGCTCAAGGCTCATCCAACCTGGCTGTGAACACTGCCAGGGTTGGGGCAGCCACAGCCTCCCTGGGCACCCTGGGACAGTGTCTCACCACACTGTGATTTGCAATAGTCCAATGTTCTGAGTACCCAATATGCTTTGGCAATTTACATTTGCCCCTACATAACCTCAAAGAAAGAAGCTGTAAATCACTGGGCTGTTTTTCTGAACACGGGGGCACTTGAAAGCAAAGGGAAAACATTCTCAAGAGCAAGTGATCAATTTCAGAGGACATATTTAGAAACAATCAAAACCCATAGCTAAGGTGAATCAAGTTCCCATTGCAGAACAACTGGTCCTGGAGAGTCTTCCAGTTGTTTTCTCCATGCCCAAAGTCAGTGCTCTGCTCTCCAAAGATGAGGTTATCCACACTTATTTATTTAGAAAACTAAAACAAGCTGGATTTTCCTTTGCTTTGGCAGCAATTGTGAGAACAACATGCTTCTGCAAATATGCTCTTTTAATGTTATACTTTGAATTCTGCCAGATGTTTGTGTTGAAAGTTAATTTCAGATCCCAAGTATCTGTATTTTCCAGCAATGTTGCTCTGGTAAATACACCACAATCCATATCCCAGTTACCATCTTCACAGAACTCTATCGTGTTATCTTGTCATATACATTTCTACTTTGCACAAGACAACCCTGATTTAAAAAAAAAAATAAACCAACAAACCACTAAGAAACATTCACAATCAAGTGTTTGAGACACCAGTGCCGCAGATGATAAAAATTAACAGCACACTCCTAAAAATGGCACAGAATAATGAATCCAGTTGGCAGTTGAGCTCCAGCATCCCACAATTCATTCTTCTCCCTTTCTACTTCCTTATCCAGCTTCTTCTAGCTTTGAAGAACTAAAACTCCATTTTGTGCAAATCAATGGCTGCATACAAATGAACTTGTTAAAGCATATTAATGAGGCACATTTCTGACTCAGATGGAGGTTCTACATTCTGCACGTCAGTATTGCTAATCTACACAGGATTGAACACTCCCAATGCGATTTCACACCAAGTATTCAAGTGTCAGCGGTATCCTCATGAAATAATGCCAAGAAACAAAGAGGGAAAATAAGCAGCTAAAGAGAGCTGAGCTCAGTAGACGGAGTTTGTGTCCCCACCGTGAAATTAAACTAAGCTGCAATTCCTGCAGGAACTGCTTATGCAACCAGCAGCAATAATGCCCATTAACAAATAACCCCACGAAAAACTCCGCAGCGCTGTCTCAGCCTTAGACCATACAACCACTCACACCCTGGAGCAAAAACAATGGCTGAAGAGGAGAACTAAGTGGTACTTCAAACATTCAGAAAACTTGTACCGTGTGACTTTTTGGAAATCCAGAGCAACTCCGACCATTGAAATCAACACAGTATTGTATAGTTTTGCTTGTGTGTTTTTTAATCATGTGTATATGAAGGGGTCAAACAAATAGCTGCAAATTCCCTGTTTGGATCATTATCCCATGTGAATACTAATTTAAGCCACAATGCCCTTGAGCAGCAAGAGAAAGCAGTCTGAGACAAACAGTGACCTGGGCCAAAAAAGGCAAAACTATTCAATGTGCTCTGCTGGTGTCCTGAGGAGGTTTCTGTTCAGACATATAGCAGCAGCTGGGCTGCAGCTATCACTGAACAACAGGCCAATCCCTCTGTGCACGTGGGGAAACTCTGTCAATCTGCACAGACGTTTGCAAAGCGCTTAGAAGAGGTGGAAAACTCCAGGGAACTCACGCCACCGCACCTGATACAACTGCTAGGGGCTTAATCACGCCGTAACACAAAAAAGCTGTTAAAAATCATCTTAAAATATTCAAGTAACTGGACAGAACATATGGCAAAGTTTACAAGTAATTTTCCAACCTCCTTCTGAAGAGCTCTGAATTGTTCAAGCTCAAACATGATATTCACAAGCTCTAAACTGCTTGCAGAGGCACCTCTAATAGATAAATGATATTCAAGCATCAATATTTCCATGGGAACTACTACTGTCCTTATCAATTGCCTGAATTCCCAGAACTGAAGTGTTAAATTTATCTCAACAATGTAAGATAAGATACATTATTCCCTTCCCATCTCTGTCTGAGAAGGCTGGAGTGAAATATTGGAGGCATTTCCAATAGGCAGGAAAAGCTGTACATCAGGGTCAATTACTGAGCTATTTTAAGCAGCTCTTTGCAAAATAACAGCTCTGCCACTAAGACATTTAGAGTCTTGAATATATTTTCCCCAAGCACAACTGAAACTGAATATAAATAGGAAACCATCCTATGATAAGATAGGAATCACAGGAAATTTTTAGTGAGCAGATCTCATCTGCAAGCAGGAGGGTTTTTCCCATACACTTTAAGGCAGGAAGGCAATTGGGGGTTTGTTGGTTTTTTGGGGGAAAATTTAATTACATTTCCGTCGACAAAAGCAATAAAGTATTGCCCAAGTCTTGAAAGACAAGAAATTAGAAGCTGACTATGTGTTCATATTGCTCAGGACAGAGCTGCTACAGACTCAATGGATAGAACTCCAGTTTCACACCTAAAATAGCAAGTCAGGTGCAGATGAAAATGTATTTTCATCCATTTTAACCAAAGTTTTTAATGTTTATTTCCACAATACCTCTGAAAAAAAATCAAATAAGCTGCTTTCAAAACTGCCCAGATCCACAATGTAGCCAAATACATAACTATTGATTAAAACAGCCCTTCTAACTATAACACTGATTGCTGCTTGGAAGAGTGACAGAAAGGTTTGGTTCAAAGCATTAGAGCTTTATCCACAGAATCCTTTTCTTCATGCACAGAATTTAAAACTGAGCTTCAGCATACAACAAATCAATCAGTTTAAAAACAACCCGATCCCTCGAAGGGGTAAAAAATAAAAAAGACAAATATCCATTTTATTTACTTGTGCATGAGTCCATACTGTAGCAGAAAATTCACAATTTCTACACCTTGACAGAAACTGGAAGTTGTATTTAGTTGTGATATGAATGTAAAGTTTGTCAATTGGTTTAAACAAGACACATTTTCACTGAGAGTACAGATCACTTCACACCCGACAACACTGTGTTCTCCAGCCACCTATCTACCCAGCAGCATTAGGTTCCAAGATTGCCACTGATTACACCCACACTCCAGCCTGTCCTCTCAAGTTCAAAGCTCCACATGCCTTATCTTACCCTTCCCAGTCTTACAGACCAAGCTCCTCTCTGCATGTACAGTCACTGCCACATACATTGGATTTCAGCACACTACAGCCCTGCGAACAGCTCATCACACACGTGCACCTGCAGAACTGACCTCAGCTCCTCATGGAGGGGTTTCAGTCTCTAAAGGACAACTCAGGGCACAGAGCACCCCATTCAACCTGCAAAGCTCCTTTGAAAGAAAAGATGATTCGAGTCTCCAAATCCACTTCAAATGTAGAATATACTAAGCAATGTTAGTCCCGATTTAATACTTGGCAGTGAGTCCTACAGTGCAACTCATGATCTGTGTGTTTCATTGGAGCACTGATAGCCCTGTTACACCTCACCAGTTCCAACACAGTAGTAAAACTAAACACTTAATCTCAGAATTCTGTCAGAATATGGATCGAGACACCCACTGGGAGATCTCCACAGTGAAAATACAACATGAATGTTGCAGGCTGTGGTTTAAGTAGCCCAGGGAGATGTGCACAAGGAATGGGGCACAAATTCCGTGCTGGAAGGAAATAACTATTAAAGCTGTGTGGATTTCAGCCTGTTATATTTTTAGCTACATCTGGTACTAACAGAATTTTAGATTACAATGGGACTCCACTTATCTTTCAAGTCTCAAACTATTGAGACTATATCTCAATATGGTCTATTGAGATCTACATTCTAGAGCTTCTAAGAAAAATTGCTGGTGACAGGAGGCTCAGGAAGTAACATTAAATTTATCCCCAAATGCCACTAAGATATATAAGAGTCCTCAAAACAAAACTACTACTTGAAGTGTGTACTTAGAACATTGATATCATCCCTATTAACTCTGATCCCTCCCACAACTGAGATTTGCTGAGAGATTTACAGGCAGGTACATTGTAAAAAGGGAAAAGTTTTGCTATTTTATGTTTATGTAAGTGTTACAAGAACAAGTCCACTTCCTAGTAAAGGAAATTATCTGTGTGCAACAAGTCCCCCCTCTACATGATTATAGCAAATAAGTAATTTTTCCTAGAAGTAGCAATGGCTGTTCATATACAATATGTACCAATACTTAAGTTCATCATTAACCAAAGCTGCTGTCAGCCTGTGCCTCCTATCAGCAGGCTGGGGGCTGGAACTGGACTTCTGCAATAAAGATTTATCAGCACTGCACCGAACCATTCTATAGTTGAACAACTTAGGAACACAAAACTGAGTAAAAACACCCCCGCATCAACTTTCATAAAATATCCAATGGAGAGAACAAACTGTCTTAATTACATTAAGGTTCATTGTTGACATATTCATGTCTTGATTTTTAAGACCCTATAGTGTTTCTCCTGCTTTATTTGGATGCTAGGGTAGAAATACTACCAAATTCAGCAGATATAACCTAGCACACTGCTACTAAAACAGCTGATTCAAAACACATGGGGTTTTATCACCAAAATGGCAAAAGAGTATTAATTCTTTTGCCACAACACATTAAGTGTCAGCAACCCTTTTCTGTTTTAGCAGGATATATTATCATGGCTACAGTTGTTTTAACCACTTT